CACCCTCCCATCCTCCACAAACAGTACATCTATCCCCTTCTGGTTATTCTTGCCTCTAACCCATATATATATATTTAAGCCCTTCTTGTTTTTAGCATTTATCATGAGTTTCAGTTGGAATAAGAGGACAAGCCCACCAATCATATTCAACTATTCAAAGGGGCAGTAATATGGAAGATGCAGTGTCAATTTTGGAGAAGGAAGGGGCCTTAGAAGTGATCTTGGTGAAGCTCTTGTTTTTTAGAGTGCAGAGAACTGAGGTGACTTTCCCAAGGTCACACAACTAGTAAGTAGCTAAGCCAGAATCTGAAACTGGATCCTCTGCCTCCACATCCTACGCTCTTTCTTTCTTTTTTCTTTTTTTGGTGAGGCAGTTGGGGTTAAGTGACTTGCCCAGGGTCACACAGCTAGTAAGTGTCAATATCCTATGCTCTTTCCACCAGGTGGTCTTAGACTTGTTCTGCTTGGCCTGGGCAGGGAAAATGAAATTAAAAGGGCAAAAGTTTGCAGAAGGTGAATTTCATCTCAATACACAGAAGAACTGCCCGATACTTAAGAGTTTTTTAAAAATGGGATGGACTGCCTGGTACAGTACAGAGTTTCCCATCACTGGAAATATTCAATCAGAGACTGGACAACCGCTTGTCAGTGAGATAACTGGGGGATTTATATTTTAGGAAGAATGTGGAGTAAATGATCTCTAAGGTGCCTTTCAAATCTATGACTATTGTGGAGGGATCGCACAGATTAAATCTGTCTAGGAGAGAGAAACAGAAAAAACAGCCACATGAAATAGAAACTTAGAAAGGGGAAGGGGAAGGAAAGAATTATTACGATTCCCAATTTACCTTCAATTTGCTTCCATTTCCTTCCCATCCCCGCCCCCAACAAAAAGCATGAGCAAAAGTGTGAGGATGTCCAGTCCATGTTATTCTCTCCCAGAATCCTTCCCAACACCCTACTCTTCCTCACGGCCCTAGGACCTCCCATACCCTCCCTCTATACCCCCTCCCCCACCTCACCAAGCCACCATTATTGCCTGCGCTGTGTGGGTTTCTCGCCCTTCTCTTCGGCTCAGGTTCCTAGCAGCTCTCACAACCTCTTCCTTGGTCCGGAAATCTCCAAGTGACCATTCGTGTACAGCAGTCTCCCCATACTGAACCAGCCCGACCTGCGAGGGACAGCTCTGATGATGCCTCTTGTGTCCGTGCTGGTCCCCCCACGTTCAGCCTCCTCTCCTCACCTGTATCTGTTCGGGGTCAATGAACAGCCTCCCCACCAGTCTACGCAGGAAAGTCTGAACCTCAGCCCAGGGGTAGATGCTGTTGGAGCCGTCCAGGACAATGACCACATCCATGTAGGTAGGGCAGCCTAGATTTTTGAGGCAGGGGAATTGTGAGGCTGAAGGAGTGCTGGGATAGTAGAAAGAACACTGGCTTGGGAATAATAGGATGTGAGCAAAAATCCTCACTTTTCCTCATCTGTAAAATGCAAGCAATAAAACCACCTACTTCACAGTGTTATAGTAAGGATCAAATAGTATTTGCAAAGTGCTTAGCACAGTGCTTGGCACACAGCAGGGGCTTGATAAATGCTTGTTCTCTTCCCTTCCCCCATCCCCTGGCTCACGCTGTGCAGTAGGTGCTAGGCTCCCCCAGGGCCGGAATGAGGCATCCACTTGGGCACAGATCCCAGAGCTGTACACTGAGGTACCGCAGGCACGAGACCAGAGTGGGGCACAGGCCTGGGGAAGGGGAAACAGGGTAGAAATGTCATTCCTAGATCTCAGGGAAGCAATCTCCCTTCTCAAGCCCTCCCCCCCAGAAGGCACAAACACCCCTTGCTCCCCATGACGCCTAATACTGCCAAAACCCCATGCATTGGGTCCTTTCCTACTCTCCATGATATTAACTTCCTGATCCCCTTCCCCAATGGTCCCCTCACCACAGACTCCCCTGATCATGAACTCTCATGATCCCCCTCACTCCCACCTCACCATGAACCCTCCATCCGTATCAGTTTTCAGCAACGACATCCCAAGGTGCATGTTCACAGCCGGACTCGATGAGTTTCCTAATGGGTAGTCGCCTGGAGGTGACAGTGAAGTTGGGGAACACAGGTTTGCGGGTCAAGAATTCAGAGGGAAGGAGTATTTAGGAAGTCATGGGAAGGGAGGCTTATTAGGGGGCAGGGAGGTTGAGGTCAGGAAAACTAGGGTCAGGGTCGGAGGGTAGGAAGGGAGGGGCGTTGTCTTACCCAGGTGGCCCTTGGCACATGAGGTATTGGGCCTCTCCTCCACAGGGCAGAGATACACATCGCCCCTCCTGTCCCCTGAAGGCCCGTCCCAAGGGGCACCCACCAACACCCTGTGGGACAGAGGCGGTGCAAGGAGAAAGCAAACTTTAGAGGGGACCCAATGTCAGAGCCCCAGTTCATTCTCCACTTTGAACAGGAACCTTGAGAAGCGTCCCATTCCTTCCGAAAATAATTGGATGGAAACGCCCTCTTATTATCGTTGGCTCGTGTGGGATAGGTAATCCTGGCCTAGCCCAAGGTCTCCTCTTCTGTTTTCCCACCAGCTTCCCCTCAGTCAGCACCAACGCAATCCCGGTCCCTTTGCCTCCCGTCTTGCCGTGCTCCTTTCACTGTCACAACGCCCCCCGCCCTCCCGCGCTTCCCTCACCATCGATGTCCTCCCCCCACATGCTGCAAGACGCTGTATCCAAACTCTGCCTCCGGGGGCCCTTGAAACAGGCGAGGATGACTATCGTCCAAGTTGAAGGAGGAGCAGAGACCTGGGGGGGGAGGAGGGACGATCAGTCACAAGGTGAGGGCTGGCTAAGGGAAGAGACTGTGAGACACGTACAGCTTGGCCCTCTCCTTGTCTTGTCTGAGGAACATGCGTCTCTGTAACAACGTTTCCATCTGGGTGTCTGGTGGCCCAAGGGTATATCTTCTGCCTTGTGTTTATATCCGGATGTCCTGTTCATCCTGTCTGTGGCCCTCAGCCACAATAACATAGGCAGCTGTGGATTCATTCCCGCCCCCGAAATCTCTTTCACAGAACCGATCAAAAGGGTCAGATCACTCCCTTCCCCCCCCTTCTCCTCCCTCCCCTCACATAACCTGTGAGGCTTAAACAATGGTAGGGGGACGGCAGCTCTCTGTAGCACCAGAAAAAGTCCCCAGCCCCCATGGGGTCCAGGTTTTAGTTTTGAGCCTAAAGGGAAGAAGAAAGGACACTGATATCTGTCTCTCAAGAGTCCTCCATCTGTTTTTACATCTCTCCGTCCGCCAGTGTCAGTTTGTGTTATGCATGCGCACACAGAGATTCCTATGTCTTAGGGCTCAGCCCCGGAAACCTCAGTGGCAATTACTCGGGTGGGGCAGCCTGCCCACACACACACATTTCTCTCTACCCCCACCACAGGGGTCCCAGATCATCACCACTCTTCCGCCTTCCCAGCACTTCAAGATCCCACCCCCCCTAACTACACCCCTGTCCACTCTCTGAATACTTTAGTCCCCTCCCAGGCACCCTACAACATGTCCTAGCTGGCCCCCTCCTCCCTACCCCAACCTCTCTCCAGGTTCACAGCGGGTATTTTGGGAAACACAGATTATAGGGGAAAGCCAAAATCCCCTTAAACCAAGGCTGAACCACCTCCGCCTTTTAGGGTTCCCTCCCTGCTTCCCAGACCATCCCTCCCCCCGACTCCCTTCCTAACAAATGCCTATTCAGAACAAAGGAGACGGTCTTCAGTTCATTCTAGACACTAGGAAGTCAATAGGTTGGGTGGAAACTGCATGTGGTCCACTAGTCGAGTATTCTTAGGCACTCTGGCCAGGGACGCGTCAAGCCCCTAAAAGGGCCCTGAGGGTAAGGGGCCACATGGGAGCACTCTGGGTGTATTCACTGACTGCCCCTGCTCTACTTTCCAGGAGTATGGGAATCAATTCCAGATAACGAAGCACAAGCTTTCACCAGCACTATAGGAAGTCTCTCCTAACATCACCTTGGGAGGAAAGGGAATAATACAGAGTCCACTGATTACGTGGATTCAAAGTCACTTTTCAAAGCCCTGTCCTGAGGGCTCTTACCGGTCGGGTGTCACCTCCCCCGCAAAGGACGTTTTTACCTGTAAGGTCCCAGCCCCGAGCCATCCCACAGACCTCCCTCCCCTCCAAGGCCCAAAGAGTTAACCTCCCTCACCTGCCAGGAGCAACAGGGGTAGAGCGAGGTGAGGGCTGAGGGAGAGCTCCATTCCTGGCTGTTCCTCTGTCTCTCTGAGGAGTCCTCTGTGCTCCTGTCCCGTTCTGTTTTCTTTACTTACCCTCCTGTCCCGCCCCCTCCCATTGGCAGCTAAAAATAAAGTCGGACTGGCCAGGAGGAGGGATGCTAGGGGAAGTTGGAGGGAGCCCCATGCCAAAGCAAGGGGCTGTCTCACTGAGCTTCTCACCCTCCCCTGCTGCCCCCTGGTGGCCTCATTGGGGAGGCCAGGCAGAGACATCTTCCGAAGTTCACCATCTACCTCCCCTCTCCCATTCCTTGTCAATCAGTTTGTCTCTCTCAGTGGAAGGGGTAGTTAGGATTCCCTAAACTGATTTTATTCATCTGGGATATGGAAGGTACCGTACTGACAGAGGCTGAGATCCCTCCCTGCTCCACAAAGCAGGATTCATTCTGTCACAAGCTGTGGTGTGGACCTCAAGCTTCTTCTATTCCTGACTGTGTAGATTAAGAAGCTTGGAATGTCTTAAGAGCAAGGCATGACTCTCACACGTGGCTTGTGGAACCAGTCTCATCACTCTGCAGTTATGCCAGCAAAGAACCGGGATGACAGGGGTCATAGCCTCCCAACGTCCCTTTTGTATTTCTAGTACTGAGCCTGGCACCTGAAGCCCAATAGTTGAGGATGATGACCCACACCACAGACAGCCTGCAAGGCTCCAAAGGACGCCAAAAATGGCCAGACGATCTAAGTGACCAGACCAAAGGCCAGTGAGCAAGACGGTTCTTTAATTCGCTGCCCTTCTGAGTTGGCCAGCCAGCAGAGGCTCTGGCCACAGCTATTTACAGTTTCATTGTACAGTATTTACAACAGGATGCTGAACACAGACAGCACCACAGGGTGGGAGTGGACCTGGGGAGAAGGTAAAAAGGGCTGAGAAACAGAAACCATTCCCAGAAACAGAGGAGTGAAGATGGGAAGGGCCAAGTCAAGGGGAAGGTAGGAGATGAGAGGAGAGGAGGAGAAAACCCAAATGGCTCTGGAAAGGAAAGCCCGGCACCCAGGGAAAAGGAGCTGAGAGGAGACACTGTTGAGCAATTCTCCTGCATGGGCCCATGACTCTCCATCTGCACTGAAAGGGAAACAGCTAAGGCATGACGGATCAAAATCCTGGGTCTCTCTTCTTCCCTCAATGGAAATGCAGCTAATAATTAAATAACTAGGATGGAGGATGAGGAGGAATTTAAAGACTCTCAGAAATAAATCTGAGAGAGACTAGGAAAAAAGTAAAATAACCATACATGTTTGGACCAGGGATCTGTTTTTCTTTCTCAGTGGGAGGGAGAGAAGGAGGATTTTTGTTGATTGAAAAAAATAAATTTTAATTTAAAAAATAGTAAGAAGAAACTCAAGAGACAAAGAATCATCGCAGTAAGAGAGGAAGAGAATTCTCCCATTGAATCCAAGGGCTGCCCTTTTCCCCCTAGTCACTCTTCATCTGTAATCCTTCAAGCTTGAGTTTTAACTCCTTTAAAAGGAAAGTCAGGGGGACAATGGAACAACAGAAAGAACCTGCCACCTCTCCCCGTTCCCAGCTCAGACTCTCTTCTACCCTAGAAATTTGGTTTTAGGGCTTTAGTCGGAGCCAGGGACAGAGTAAGGTAAGGATAGATAGGATGGATGACACCAGACCACAGAGCCCCACAACTCCAGGGCCACAACGCCATAGGCCCAGCTTGTCCAGTGGGATGAAGAGGTCACAAGTATTTTTGACCACATCCAGCAGGAGGGGGGGATGGCCTTGGAGGACCCGGGCAAGGAGAAGAACTCGAAGCCGGAGCTGCAGGGCCAGATGGGGCAGACTCCCTCCTGGGGTACCGACCCCTGCCACACCCCCTGCTTCACTGCCTCCCAGGGTCCCTCCTGCTGACCCCTTCGGCCGGCGGCCACAAGCTGAAGACTCCTGTTCCATCAGTAGTCGTATCTCGTAGGCATCACGGCTCAAATTCATGATGAGAGAAAATAAGTAATACCTGGGACAGATGCACAGGGTAGAAAGGATCAATAAGACAGAGGGAAATCTGAGCTCAGTGCCCCAGGGAGCAGTTAGTAATCTTCTCTCTTAATTTGCTAAGAAAATCACATCAGATCACCCCCAAGCACATGCCTTTTCCCCATTCTGGAATGTCTTCCCACTTTTTCATTAATAATTCAACTTTCTCTCTACCTTCAAAACCTTGCTCAAAATTGAGGGAACTTTCCAGGCTAACCTCACCTAACTTGGCTCACTGCTATACTCAGAACTTAGACATTCAGTTTATACTGCACTAACATGCACCTCTTCCCTACAAAAATGAGCCTCACTTGTTTCTGGTGTATGTTTAGTCTCCTTACCTATGGGAGATTTTAAGTTACTGTCTAATGCAAGCTCTCTGATGGAAAAGAATCTTTCCCTGAGTCCTCAGGGCCTACAAAAGTGCTTGGCACACAGAAGATGCTTAATATTTACGTGACTGAATTTAAATCCTTGAGGCCAAGCACTTCATCTTTTTTGTATCTACTCAACAGCACCTGGTACAGAGCTCGAGGTGCGGTGGACACTCAAAAATAATGAAGTTTACTGGTACTTCCAGAGAGCACCCATCCACAGCCACAGTCATGTCTACACTGGCAAATGACTAGGAGAGAAGTTTGAGATGAGAAGAGGAATAAGGAGAAAGGCAGACATATGGAAACAATAGAGACCAGAGATTGGGGGACAGGGACAGTAAGGAATGAAAGGAAAGGAAAGGAGGGTCAGTAAGGAATGAAAGGAAAGGAAAGGAGGGTATCACAACCAGGCTACGCTGCTCCCAATTTCTGATTTGATCAGGGATTTCATGAGGTTAGAAAGCTTCCGGTGAAGAACAGTGCAGATCTTAGAGAGCTGAGCATTAAGTGGTTATCTTTGGGGCCCAAGGTCACACTGCCAATGTGTCAGAGACAATACTTGTACCAGGTTTTCCTGACTCAAAGGTCACCTCAAGGTGCCACAAAACCTAATGTCTTATGTTTCATAAATTCTTGGCATCTTTTAATAATAACAACAGGTATTTTATATAGTGCCTTAAAGACTGAAAAGGACTTTATACACATTATTATATTTCAACCTCATAAAAAATCCTTTAAAGTGGACAACAGTACTATTGTCCCTGTTTTTATAAATGGGGAAGCTGTGGTCCAAAGCGATCAGATGACTGTAGTCAGGAGCAGTCAGAGTAGGATTTGAATCCAAGTCTTCAGACTCAAGAGGCCAATGCTCTATCCATTACACATCCCCTCACCCCCCTTTAGCACACAATGGTAGACTAGAATACAGGGGAACCAAGATGTACTGGTTTGGGGTGGCCAGCTTTCACCAAAGGCTCATTTCCCAAGGTGGGATGAAGTCCAAGGGCAGAGAGGTCTCTAACCTGAATGAACGCTGGGCCCACTTCTCCTGGTCCACAAGGGGTGCCAACCCAGCCTTTCCAGCCCACAAGACATTGTCACAGGCAAAGTACAAGGCTCGATTGAGATGGCTGACAGTGATGCAGAATCGAAGGACGACATCTGACAGATGCACAGCCCGTTTGGCGGACTCGAGGGCATCTGCTGAGTTACCCAGGCGAAGAACTGGATGGGAAAAAGGGCAAGGGGACAGGTGAGACAGGAGAGGCACATGCAGCAAGTAAGGAGAGAGATGAACAAGACAGCTACGGGCAGACAAAACAAGGCTGAGGACAGAGTATGCCAGGGAGTGAGCAACAGGACAAAAGCAAGAAGCAAGCTGAGGGTAGAGGCAGACAAGTTTCATTTCATCTTTGAAAACTTCAAACTCTAATAACATTTTCTCCATTGCTCTTTGGTCCACAGCTTTAATCACACTCCCCCACCCCACCCCCAATCTCCTGCTTGTACTCTGTCTTCCTGCCACCTCAACTGTGAAACAAGAGTGAGGGGTAAAGCTATGGCTGGAAGAGCATTCTTAGTCAAACCAGGGAGAATGGTGATCATAAAAGATAAAATAGGTCATTTCAACTACATAAAACTGAAAGTGTTTGCATGAATAATATTGCTAGAAGTGGAAGAGAAGCTGTTGACTGGAACAAAAAAATCTTTGCAGCAAAGATCTCTGATAAAAGTAACATACAGAAGATAAACAGGGAACTAATATAAATATATAAGAAAAAGCCATTACCCAACAGATAAGTGGCTAAAGGAAATGAAGAGGCAGTTATCAAAAGAAGAAATTCAAGTTACCCACAAGAATATAAGTATTCCAAATCTCTAACAAGGGAAAGACTAATTAAAAATACAAGGTTACCTTGCAATCATCAGACCGGCAAAGATAACACAAGACAAAAATGGTAAATGTTTCAGGGTTTGTGGAAAGAGAGGCACACAAAACTACTGTTGGTGGGGCTCCAATCTGGTCTAAGTGTGTTATTATAGTAGAAAAGTCACTAGATTGTACGTACTCTTTAATCCAGTGACACCATGGCTAGGCACACATCCCAAAGAGGTCAAAGACAGTGGGAAAAGATTCCACATATACAAAAATATTTATAACAGCACTTTTTTGTAGCAGCAAAGAAATGGCAAGCGATCTGATATAGGTTATACATGTGCAATCATGTAAAATATATTGCCACACTAGGCATACTGTGAAAGAAGAAACAGAACAAAAGAAAAACAACAAAAAAGTTAAAATAGTCTGCTTCGGTCTGCATTCTGACTCTATCAGTTCTTCCTCTGGATGTGGACAGAATTTTCCATCATGAGTCTTTTGGAATTGTCTTGATCATTGGATTGCTGAGAAGAGCTAAGTCTATCATAGTTGATCATCACACGATGTGGCTGTTACTGTGTACAATGTTCTTGTTCTACTCATTTCTCTCAGCATCAGTTCATGTAAGTCCTTCCAGGTTTTCCTGAAATCTGCCTGCTCATCATACCCTGCTGATGGGAGAACAACTGAACAAACTGTGGTATGTGAATGTAATGAAATATTACTATACCACAAAAAACATCAAATATGAAGAATTTAGGGAAACTTGGGAAGACCCCCATAAATTGAGACAGTAGGAAGTAAACAGCTTGGTGAACGACTGAAATGATGACCACAATATTGTAGATAAATAACAACTTAATAACTTTAAAATTCCAATCTTGACTGACAGGAGGCATGCCTGCTCTCTTATCCTGAGAGAGATGGAGCCTAGAGGTGTGCAATAAAGCCTGCATGGTCAGACACGGATAATGTGTTGATTTGCTTTGCTTAACTGTACTTAGCTACAAGGAAAGACTGAGGAGGTAATGCAAAAATCACTGAGAAATGACAAATGTTTAAAAAAAGAGTATCAATAAAACATTTATTTAAAAAGAGATTTTTGGTACAACACAGGAAGGGGGAGTATGGGTGGAGGGAGGGGCTAAGGAAGGAAATCAGAGGGAATTGGGGAATGCTTTAATTTCTCATCTATTCAGAGGAGAAAAGAGTCACTTACGCTTTCGTCCAAGGCTCAGATGGCCCTCCAGCTGTCGTATTTGCTTCTGAAGTTCAGGACTTGCCCCATGTTTCTGCAGTGCGTGACCAAGGAGGGAGCAGGCATATTGGGCAGCCCTATGGGAAGGAGGAGAGAGGGGCGGGGAGAGGGTAGTGTGGAAGTCAGATTGAAAACACCTCCTTCCCCTGCGGACACCTTCCTTAAGGTTCGCAAAATCGCCCGATCCAAGGCAACTTCCTTCCCGTACAAACCCACTCCCCAGGTTCCTCGTTCTGCCCTTCTGAGCAGCAGAGAGGAGAGGGGATGAGGCAGGGGAAGCAGGGAAAGTCATAGGGAAGGGAGGGTGAGGAAAGGGGTGGAGGGCGAAGAGAAATAATGGGCTGCTTGGGAGGAAGAGAAGCGTGGATTAAAGCAAAGAAAGAAGAAGGAAATGGACACTGGGAAGAAGTTATGTGCATCCAGGTAGACTCGGAGAGATGGAGGGCTGTGCTGGGGGCACCGGCTGGGGTACGCGGCGCGAGGGCTCCTCGGAGGGCCTGGGTGGGCACGGCCCCTCCCCAGCCCGCTCCGCGCTCCGGGGCAGAGTTCGCAGATTCCACCCAGAGCCGCGGCCCAGCCCGCTCCTTCCCCCGCCCCCAACTCCGCCTGGGCCACGTGGGCACGAGACCCTCGGAGGCCCCGCAGCGAACGGTGGGACCGGCGGCGACCAGGCGGCTCGAAGTCCGTCTCCGCCGCGCCCCCCCACACACACAACGAGCAGGGTCCGAGTCCCCCTCCGAGGGGAGCCTGGTCGTCGGGATCTCCACCCCTCCCCGTCTTGCCCCCCAACCCATGCCTCAGTTTCCCCATCTGTTCTGCGGGCGGAAACGAATCATTCCCTCACAACTCGCCCATCCCTGCGCACTCGCCGAGGGGTCGGTCTCTCCGCGCCTCCGTACCCGGGGCTGACCCTTTCTGACCCCGTAGCCCGATCTGACCGCAAAGGTGTGTATCCCCGCTCGCGCCCCCTGGCCCCGGCCGCACCTGCACAGGCGCTCCCGGGCCTGGCTCTGGGCGCTGAAGCGGACCCAGGCGTCCATGCCTGCGGCACCGAGGTTCACTAACCGGCTCTGCGGCCTAGTCCTGCCCAGCGGGGCCCGTCTCCTTTCCCCTTCCCACGCCCACCGCCGCAGAACCCGACGGCACCGCGCGAGGGACAAACTGAGGAGCCAAGCAAAGCGCACGGAGGCCCCGCCCCTCGGAGCCGAGGCAGGGCGGGGGCCCGCTCGGGCCAGGCTTCTCCGCCAGCGCTTCGGCTTCCCCCGGAGGCTCGGGCGCGCCGGCAACCTCCGTCATCTCCACCGACTTTCCTGCGCCCCAGGGACAGGAGCGACTCCCTGCGCGGTCCTTGGGGCCCCTCGGCAGCCGCCGCCTTTAAATGTACTTGCCCGCGGAGGGAGGGGGAGGTGGGACCAGCGGGAGGCGGGGCCTGGGAGGCGGGGGCGGGGCCGGGGCCGGCGGGAGGCTGGAGTGCTCAGCAGCAGCCGCAGTGACCTCCAGCTGCGGAGCGGGCGCAGGACCGCGGCGCACCCGGGACGCGGCACAAGAGACCTCGGCCAGCCGGGTCTGGGCACGGAGCAGGAGGGCCTGGGAAACCCCCTGCGGGCTGGACGAGTGCATGGGACCTTGAGTCCTGGACAGCGGGGCGGAGCTGGACACACGGCAGCCCCCGGGGCAAAGATGGGGAGGGTCCCTGAGGCTGGCGACCGATGCGGTCGGAGACCACAATGACCGGCGCCAGCCCCTGGCCTGGCGGGGGAAGGGATGGGCTGCCCGAGCCGGCCGCTTCCCCCCTGCAGCTATGTCCACGGGCAATGACACAGGCTGGGGCTCTTCAGCCGGAGAGGAAGCTTGGGCAGGGGCGGGGGTCGAGGTGGAGGAGTCAGCGCTTCCCACCTTCTCAACCGCCGCCAAGGTCCGAGTAGGAGTGACCGCTGCCCTGTTCCTGTCGTCGGCTGCAGGCAATCTGGCTGTGCTATGGTCAGTGACGCGGCCAAGATCCAGTAGACTCCGCCCCTCCCCTGTCCGCCGACTTTTTGGCCACTTGGCCGCTGCAGACTTACTGGTCACTTTCGTAGTCATGCCGCTGGATGCGGCGTGGAATGCCACTGTCCAGTGGCTCGCTGGAGATGTTGCTTGCCGGACACTCATGTTCCTGAAACTGCTGGCCATGTATGCGGCTGCTTTTCTGCCTGTGGTCATTGGACTTGACCGCCAGGCTGCGGTGCTCCATCCTCTTGGACCCAGAGGGGGTGGGCGAAAGCTGCTGGGAACGGCCTGGGGGCTTAGTTTTCTGCTTGCCCTGCCCCAGGTGAGTGAACAAAGGAGTGTGAGCCTGAGGAGTCAAGGTATTACCTACCTACCCTACCCAGGGAATTCACGGAAAAGATCTCCTTTACCTCTTTGCCCTTCTACGTTTATTTACATAAAACTGAAATGCAGAGTCACCCCACCCACCCCTGGAAGGTCTATCTGCTCCATCCCGCTTTCCGTTTTTCTGTAAAGCTTCTCTCTCACTTTCCAGTGGGTCCCCCAAACTTCAGTTTTTTCTTCTTAGTTTTCCTCCAACTCTACCGTAAACGAGGAGAGGCTATTGTAGCTGGAAATAAGAAAGGTTTAAAGTGAAGGAGTGAAGTAAATTGGAATCATGGTATGCAAATTTATAGTGCATGACAGAACCTGAATGCTTCAGGCAGTTCTGACGATCAAATCTTAAATCAGTCAAGTGGGGGGGAGCTTTAAAAGATTAGGGGAAAAAAAGCAACGAAAACAAACTTTTTTTTTTACCAAAACAAAACCCTAGCTACCTCTGTGATAGAGCAGCTTCTGTTTGTGGATAGACTAGAAAAATGTGAGGATTTTTCATTTTGGAAGGACCTAAGAAAAAAAAATGCTCATTTACAAGCACTGCACTTTAAGGTTACAAAATAGTTAATGCACTTCTCCTTTGAGCACACAACAGTACTATGAGTTAGGTAGTGCATTTGTTTAATAATAAATGTTTATGGATTATTCTCATTCTAAAAGAGGGAAAACCAAGGCTCAGAAATATTAAGTGATTTCCCCTAGTTCTCACAGCCAATGAACTGAAAAGCCTGAACTAGAAATCCAAGTTTTCTAGCTCTAAACTAGTACTGTTTTTACTGCAATAAGGGGATTTAAATCTACAAAATCATTAAAAATCACTAATTTCCACAAGACAGAAACTAGGCAGGAGCTAGAGCTAGAGAGGTTATATGGGAATACTGAAAGCAATCCTAATTATGGTTTTAAGACAAACTAGTATTTTGTCGGATGAGTAGTCAACATTTCAAGTAACTCATCCTTAACTGTAAAGAAACCTATGGCTACAAGAGATAGAGGAATTACCCTAATGTTTTTTTCTTCTTTTATATAAAGCCAAAATTAGTTATGCACCCTGTAGCAATACCAACAAACTAATAATGGTGATTTGGAGGTAGAAGTAGAAATACTTTGCAAAAGGAGATGTTTTGTCAGTTCCAAGATAACTGAGATAAATGTTAGTTTTTTGCTATCACTTTAATAGGTGCAATTTTTTTCTTAATAAAATTTGACATTTTTAAAAATGTGTTGGTGTTTTAGAGTTTAATATATGTATAAGATGTTTAAAGTTATTAAATTGATTAGACTGCTTGCTTACATTTATTAAGTTTCCAGGCACCAAGACACATTTAGAAGGGGAGGTTTCAGCAAAAGGAATTGTGCACGTACTGAAAGATTTCTCCTAACTTGCTGTGACTTTGGATAAGTCACTTTATCTCTGGGCCTGAATTGCTTCCTCTATAAAGTAATAGGGTTGGGCCACATGGTCTCTAAAGTCCCTTCTTGCTCTAAGGTTGTATTAATCTTTTATCGATCAAAGGAAAGAATAAGAAGACTGGGACGATTGTGGCAAACCTAAGTGCTTATGGATTGCTTGAAGCTTTGATCTACTTTTAGAATATGGAGAAGGGTCAGACTCCTGGTTATTTGAGTCCTGGTTATTTAGATTTGCACCAAACACTGACTTTTCCACATACCCACCCGCAGCTACAGAAGGAGCTGATGTAGTTTGTAAAACCTGTGGGCTTTCATTTTCAGTTTAGATAGAAGGGTTAGATTCCTGGTCATTTATTTCTGAGCATTAGAAAGCAATAAGAAAACAGTGAATACCCAGGGGAGAAAAAAAAAGGGAATAATTCCTTTTATTTACGTGAAGAGGGTGGTTTAAAAAAATTTTTTTCGTCATTGATTATGTAATTTGATCCTTACAACTGTCCTGTAAACAGCCCAGGTTTTGCTTAATTACTTACTGGTCTCTCAGTCAGCCCTTGGTTTTCTTCTCAGCTCTTGCCATAGGCAAGTCAACTGTTATTAACTTGTGCTAGTTCCTGCACAGAGTTGTTTTGAGGGAAGTGATTTAGTGGTAAAAAGAGCTGACATATATCAATTAACAATTTACTTTCCTCAAAACCCTATGAGCTAGATAGTATAGGGATTACTGTCATTTTACTTTCAACAATGAGAAGTTCTGACCTGTCCAAAGATTGATTTGGGCAAGGAGGGGAAAAGGAAGGAAATAAACATTTATATAGGGTCTACTATGTGCCAGGCACTGTGCCAAGCACTTTAGAAATATTATTTCACACTTTCACATCAACCGTACAAGATAAATGCTATTATCCCTATTTTACATCTGAGGAAACTAATGTCTGAAGCTGGTTTAGTATCTTATTACATTTGCATACTAACTTGTTGAAATAGACTGGAACTCCCATCTTCAGATTTCTGGTCCAGCGTCGTCCCCTCGTGACTACTTTACATCTTGCCACTTCCCTATCCCCAGTCAGCTCAGAGTGGATCAAAGTTCCAAGCAACTGGTTAACACTTCAGCTATAGACAATGGCTCCTCCCATTTCTGTGAGATTTCCTCTCCTTTCTAATGAAACTGCCTCCAAGCATGACTTACCTATTCATTTAGATGCCAGGGTATTTTTGCTTCCATTGCTGGAGTGAAAGCCAACAGCCCTGCAGTTTCCAAGGAAAAACAATATGCAAATGACCAACACATCATTTCTTTTAAAAAAATGTCAATTTTTATTAATACTTTCAATAGTTACAACACACAAACTCTTACTCAAAGAACACTTTGTTAAATAGATTGACTGCTTAAGTGGGTTTCTGAACATCATTCTTTATACAGTATTTCTTGTTTTAAGTAGAACTTATCTTGTCCACACACAGGCAAACAGTAGCACCATGAGTTATTGGCTAGGTGGCTAAAAGGAAAAAAAAAACCACCTTCCTCATACAGATCGAGTTTTGCTAAAACAGAATTCAGCTAAATTTGTGGACACACAGGCCTTTAAATGGATATTTATACTCGGCTACGGGTTTTTTTTTTGGTTTGGTTTGGTTTTGTGGTTGGCATCATGGATATACTATTGCCCTAACCAATACTGCCCTATTAACTTCCCTATGTGGTGGGGGTGAGGGGGTGGTAGTGGGAATATTATGATATAAGGTGGAAGTCTTTCTTTTATACTGCACCCCACTCCAGCTGTTCCTGTTTCATACTGTCCGCCGTGCTGGCCCAGTCCCCTTCATTCAGTGTGTCACCAAAGGAAGCTTCAAGGCCCGATGGCAAGAAATCGCCTATAACCTCTTCACCTTCTGTGGGCTCTTCCTGATACCTCTGACAGCCATGGCAATCTGCTATGGTCGAATTGTATTCAGTGTGTCCAGACACCGAACAGGGAAGGGGGAGCATGGTGAGCCTCCAATCCCTAGATCCCGATGCTCATTTCCCAATCCATAGCTTCGGTCCCAATTTCCACCATGAAAATCTCCTAGTTTTTAGCCCACAGTGAGAGCCTAATCACAACAGTACTTCTTAATGCCAGCCCATTGATATGGGGGAAATCAAGTAAGAGTCCAAAACAGTCCTGATGGTACCTGGTCATTCTTTAAAACCCAGGTTCACCGGGCGGTGGTACATGTCACCCACCACCACCTCCCTTGGCCATGGGTAAGGGTTAGAAAAGGTGATGGGGGCAAAGAAGTAGGGCTGGTCAATTTTATATTCTACAGCAGTACCCCATACTCTGGCCTGAAGTCCTTTCCCTAGCATGTCTCTCCTCTCTGAACTCCATTTAGGAAGGTGATTCATACCCTCAGTGAGGTGTGTTTGTGCATGTGTACAAGAATAATATTCATATGTGAGCTTCAAAAAGAACTGCAATCTACATCTATCCATCTCCCTCGTTCCATCAGCTTGCCTCATGCCCATCTAGTGCCTAGTAAGGGAACTGACAATTATTCATCTCTGACTCCCCAGCCCCTGCTGGTCAGTTCGCTCTTCGTCGTTCCTTTGACAATCGCCCCCGTGTACGGCTTCGGGCCCTTCGACTATCCCTACTTGTCCTGCTGACCTTCGTTATCTGTTGGACACCCTACTACCTGCTGGGTCTGTGGTACTGGTTTTCTCCCAGCATGCTAAGCAATGTCCCCCCCAGTCTCAGCCACATTCTGTTCCTCTTTGGCCTCCTCAATGCTCCCCTGGACCCCTTACTCTATGGGGCCTTCACCCTTGGCTGTAGAAAAGGACACCAGGAACTTGGTTCAGATTCTTTCCGGGGGGGAAGGAGCTCTTGGAGAGTCCCTCAACAAGTGGTTCAGGCACCTAGGCAGCTGGAATCGAGCACAGAGGGTAGTGGAAAGACAGGAAAAATGGAGGAAACATCTCTGTAACTCTTGCTGAGATCCTTTTCTTAACTCTAGCCCCACCCTCCAACCGAAAAAGTAATAAAGAGTAACTATTTTTTTTAGAATCCCTACCTTGTCCCTGTAGCCACTCCCACTCCTTACCACCTACCCCGGCCAAACAGAAAATATGGACGGCACATGAGTCTCCTGGTGGAGAAGATTCTTCTTCCACCCCTAGTAAGGGAAAGAATAAGAACATTCTAGACTTCAGTAATTCAATACTTGGATGAACATCCTTGATATTTCCCTTAATGTTATGGTACATTTCACTCCCTTAGATGGAAGAGGAATGGGTTTTCACTACTTAGTCAGAAAAAGCCTGGGTTGCCTACCTGGCTTTTTACCTGATATGTTTGATTCTCTCATGTGTAGAAAAGAAAACTAAACTGTTTATTCACAATGCCAAAGAAACACTTAAGGAGGCGGGAGATTAAGTCAAAGTCCCATCCCAGCCCCATTTCCTCCAAGGCTAGATGTAGGCAAACTGATTCTCTGGAGAATGACATCTGAGCAGTGCTGTCAGCGACGTCTCCGATCCGGACTCCTGCTCCGTCTTCGGCCACCTCTGCAAAGGGAAGGAAGAAGGATGGTCTGTCAGGGTGACTAGATCATGAACCAAATATTGTTCTGTTTGTCTCATCTGTATACATCCAATTCACAACCACTTGCTCTTTCCTCCTCACCTCCTTTTGCCTTTGGGTGGCCCCCGAACAAAACACCAGTCAACACTTATGGGTTGCCCCATCATATCCTGGCCATTGAGTCCCTCCATGGCAGCCTGAGCCTCCTTGTATGTTTCATATTCAACTAGTGTATACCCCTTGGGGAAAGGACAAAAAAAGACATCAGACAGCCCCTATCCACATAGAGCATGATAATAAATCCCTCTTATTCTTAGTTATCAAACCTAAACTTAGATTAAAAAACAAACATCAAGCCCTGTAAGTCTTTGTTTAATGAATATACAGCATGAACTTACCACCTATACTGTGTTCCTGTTGTCTGTTACAATGTTTGTCTTTGCTGTGTATAACTAATTTTCAGTATTACTTTAATCCAAATTTGCTCATCATTCCCCATACTGTAAACACTCAAGCACTGACTGCCCTCCTTGATCCTGTATTTAGAGAATGTAGGGCCCAAACTTCCAACTTACTTTGAGGTACCCCGTGCGCCGGTCCAGGTTGAGGTGAATATTCTTGATTTCCCCATACTCCGCAAACTTGTCATGTATGTCTTCTTCGGTGGCCTCTTCATGGACCCCAGTCACAAAGAGAATCCAGCCCTCCACAGCTAGGGAGTCAGGGCACAGGAGGGCAAAGCGTCAGAACTTACACCTGTGGTTCCTAGAGACCCCAGAATTCAGCACGCAGGTGATCTGGGAAAGACGGCCGACAAGGAAGACCCCTCGGGGCTCCCTCCACTATTTCCCCTCGGGACGAGGACCCCGCTCGTCTCCCAGCCTCTTGGCACTCACATCGCTGCGGCCCGGGTTCATCTCCATCCTGCTCCACACTGTCATAATCCTCCCGCATTCGGGCCCGGGACCCTTCCTCTGTAAAGCACGTGCAACAGATCTCAGAAAACAAAGGCGGCCCATCCCGCGGCCCCCCTCGCCCTCCTTTCCCTCGGTCTCACCTGAGCCGAAGCCGCGACCCTTGCGTTTCTTGGCCTTCTCCTTCAGTTTGTGAATACTCTCTGGAGGAAGGGGAGAGCTGGGTCAGGGAGAGCAGCCCGGAGTCCCGCCTGGGGAGTGGGGCGCGGAGCCTCCCGCCCCTAAGGCCGGCAGCCCGGCCTGTCCTCCCCGGGTCTGCCAGGGGAGGAAGACCTGCCGCCCGCCCCCTCCCCTTTCCGAGGCCCGGCCCCTCTGGCCCCCCGCACATCCACTCCGCACCGTCCCCATCCTCGTCCATGGCGAAGTCCTCGCCTCCGGCCTCATGAAGGTCCAACACGTCTGCCATTTTGCCACTTCACGGGCTCCTCGGAGCGGTTCTGCAGCAAGGCACGGTGGGAAATAATGGCGGGGGAAAGAAACGCCCCATGAGGTGTTGTTGACTGCTTGGGTAGCCAATCAGGCAACTCGACTCTAAGACTCTTCTCTTTGGCGGGGACGCTGTACGCTTGCGCAGTCTGCGGCCTCCGGGCTGGGGGAGTGTGCGAGGCGGGATCTTGAAAGCAGGGCTTCCTGGGAAGCCCAGGAGATCAGGTGACGTGGTTGGGGGCGGGGATAGGCTTGGGCCGCCCCTGCGCCCCGCTGGCGCCCTGATTACCTGTACGTCCCTCCCTTCCCCTCCCCCTCGGCTGGGCCTTTGGTGCCGGACAGCCGAGCTTAGCAACTTTCCGCCGCTTCTTCAGCCCGCGGCTTTCTTACTCTTTCTAGCGAGTCTTCGCTCGGTGGCGCTTTCCTTTCTTCTGACCGAAGAAGGGGCGGGAGAGGGCGCCATCTTCACTTTCCCTGGGCGCCCGGCGGGAGTCCCGAGGGGGCTGGATGGCCCCGGGCCAGGCTGGCTAGGTTGGCACGATTGGAAACCTCAGGGCCACGTCTCCTCCAAAAAAAGAATGCTAGTAAATAAACAAAACCGGGGTCTAAGTAACTTCGTTGCGCCAGATTCCTTACCCTCACCTGGTCCAGATTACATGAGAATTGCCTCCTATAGCGTACTCGGAAAGGGTTAGGTGGTGATCTTAAACCAGTGGCCTGCCTGTAAGGGAGTCCAAGCCTTGAGTTTCTTTTGCTTTTACGCCGTTGCGATTCTTCCGAAGTCCTCCCAAGCCCGGAACTTCATCCCCTTCGCTATGATCTGACCTCCTCCACCGATGTGTACTCACTCCCTCACTCTAGTTTTGTTTGCACCTATTCTCTCCTTTCTTTCAGGATCACTCCCTGCAGTCGAACCTCGTATCTCCAGTCTCTCTTAATCATCATTGTCAACAAACTTATTCAAGTCTCCTTTATCTAAAAACGACCACATTCAGGTTAAGTGTCTCCTCCAACTTCGAAAAAGACAAAGCTACAGGCTGCCTCTACCTTCTCTTCAAAGGCTATCAAGATTGGGAGATGCTTAGCACCCTCGTTTTGCAAATAAGGAAATTGAAGCTTGACCTTTTGCAGTAATTGGCCCCCATCACACTACTGAAATAGCTCTCTCCACGATCACTAATGAATTCCTTATGGATTTCTGTTCTCGACTTTGACACTAGTTTAGCATTTGATACTTCATACACTTCCTGCCTCTTCTCTTTGATACTGCTTTCTTCGTGTTCCTACCTCTTTGACACTCTCTTCCTGGGTCCTCATCCTTCACTGTGAATACCATCGGCGTTCTGTTTTGAATCTAGTATATGTTGCCTTTTTACCTTCTTTCCTTTAGGAATTTCATGTACGCCCACGACTTCAATGATCATATCCATGCAGATGACTCCCAGACTGTTTCCAGCCTCTCTGCTAGATCTCCAGTCTTGTTTTTCTAGTTTTTAGTTGCTGTCTCCACTCAATTGACCCACTATAGATCAAACTTAGTTGTGTCCTAAGTTGAACTTCTCTTCGATCCCCAAACCTAACTCTTCTCTCTTATTTCTTTTTTAAAATTATTTTTCCCAATTACATGTAAAGACAATTCTTAACATTCATTATTTAAAATTCTGAGTTCCAAATTCTCTCCCCTTCCCCTAGACAGTAAGCAGTTTGATATAGGTTATACGTATGCAATCATGCAAAACATTCCCATATTACTCATGTTGTGAAAGACACGGACCAAAAACAAAAACCAAAAAACCAACCCACAAAAAAAGTAAAAAATAGTATACTTCGATCTGCAGACTCCATTAGTTCTTTCTCTGGAGGTAGATGGCATTTTTCATCATAAGTCCTTTGTAATTGGGTTATTGTATTGCCAAAAATAACTAAGTCATTTAGGATTGACCATTGCTCAATACTGTTGTTACTGTGTACAATGTTCTCCTGTTTCTGTTCACTTCACGTATCACTTCATGTAAATATTTCCAGGTTTTTCTGAAATCAGCCTGCTCTTCATTTCTTATATCACAAACCTATTTCATTACAATCAAATACCACAACTTGTTCAGCCATTCCTCAGTTGATGGGAATCCCCTGAATTTCCAGTTCTTTGCCACCACAAAGAAAGAGCTGCTATAAATATTTTTGTACAAATAGGTCCTTCTCCCACCAACTTCCCCCCTTTAAAAATTTCTTTGGAATACAGACCTAGTAATGGTATTGATGGATCAAAGGGTATGCACAGATTTACAGCCTTTTGAGCATAGTTCCAAATTGCTCTCTAGAATAGTTGGATTAGTTCACAACTCCACCAACAGTGTGTTAATGTCCCAGTTTTTCCCTATCCCCTCCAACATTTATCATTTTCCTTTTCTGTCATATTAATAAATCTGCTAAGTGTGAGGTGGTAGCTCAGTTATTTTAATGTGCATTTCCCTAAATCAATAATGATTTAGGGCATTTTTTTCACATGGCTATATATACAGCTTTGATTTCTTGGCCTAAAAATTGCTGTTCATATCCTTTCATCATTTATCAATGGGGTAATGACTTCTATTCTTATAAATTTGGATCAGTTCTCTATTTTGAGAAATGAGGCCTTTATCAGAGACACTTGCTATAAAAATTGTTTCCCAGCTTTCTGCTTTCCTTCTGTCTTGGTTGCATTGGTTTTAGGTAAAAACTAATTTAATTTAAAGTTTTTAATTTAAAGTTTAATCTAATTATGTATTTTAATTTAATTTAAAATAATAAAAATTATCCATTTTACATGTTGTAATGCTTTCTCTTTGTTTATTCATAAATTCTTCCCTTCTCCATAGATCTGACAGGTAAACTATTCCTTGCTCTCCTAATTTGTTTATGGTATCAGCCTTTATTTTGTATCTTGAAACTTTGCTAAAGTTGTTATTTCAACTAGTTTTTTAGCTGATTCTCTAGGATTCTATAAGTATACCATTATCTATATTATATACACATATATCATTATATATGTATATATATGCATGGCAAAGAATGATAGTTTTATTTCCTCATTGACTTCCAATTCCTTCTGCTTTTTTCTTCTTTTAATTGCTATGGCTAACATTTCTAGTGCAATATTGAATAACAGTGGTTACAAATGACATCGTTGCTTCACCCCTAATCTTACTGGGAAATCCTAGTTTATCCCTATTATAGATAAAGCTTACTGATGGTTTTAGATACTACTTATCATTTTTAAGGAAAGTTCCATTTATTCCTATCCTCTCTAGCACTTTTATTAGGATGTTGTATTTTGTCTAAAGCTTTTTCTGCATCTATTGAGATAACCATATGATTTCTGTTGGTTTTGTTACTGATATGGTCAATTATGCTGATAGTTTTCCTAATATTGATTCAGCCTCCCATTGATCCTGCCTGGTCATGGTGTATGATTCTTGTGATATATTGCTGTAATTTCCTTACTAGTATTTAAAATTTTTGTATCAATATTCATTAGGAAAATTGGTCTATAGTTTTGTGTTTTTGTAATTCCTGGTTTTGGTAATCAGCATCATATTTGTGTCATAAAAGGAATTTTGTAGAACTCCTTTGCTTATGTTTCCAAATAGTTTATACAATATTGGAATTGCTCTTTAAATGTTTGGTAGAATTGACTTGTGAATTTATCTGGCCCTATGGATTTTTTCTTAGGAAATTCATTGATAGTGTATTCAATTTCTTTTTCTAGGATGAGATTACATATTCTATTTCATCTTCTGTTAACCTGAGCAGTTTATATTTTTGTAAATACTCATTTCCCTTAGGTTGTCAGATTGGCATTTAATTGGGCAAAATAGCTCCTAATAATTGCTACCTAGCCCCTTTGCCTTCCCATCTTTGACACTGGTAATTTGGTTTTCTTTTTCTTTTTTTTTTAAAATAAAATCAGCTCCTAGTTTAATTTACTAGTTTAATGGTTTTCTTTCAATTTTATTAATCTTGCCTTTGATTTTCAGGAATCCCATTTTGGTGTTTAATTGGGGATTTTAAATTTGTTCCTTTTCTAGTTTAATTGCATGCTCAATTCACTGATTTGCTCTTTATTTTATTGATGTAAGTGTTGAGATATAAATTTTCCCCTAGGTACTGCTTTGGCTGCATCCCATAAATTTTAGTATGTTGTCTCATTGTTTTCATTTGTTTTTAATGAAATTGACCATTTCTATGATTTGGTTTTTGACCCACTCATTCTTTAGGATTAAATTATTAGTTTCCAATTAATTTTAAATCTATTTTTCCATGACCCTTTATTGAATGTAATTTTTATTGTTATGATCTGAAAAGGATGAATTTAATATTTTTGCCTTTCTGCATTTGTGAGGATTTTATGCTCAAATACATGATCAGCTTTTGTGTAGGTGCCATGTACCACTGAGGAAAAGGTATATTCCTTTTTATCTCTATTTTTCTTCAGAGGGCTATCATATCTAAGTTTTCCAAAATTCTATTCACCTCCTTCTTATTTTGTTAGATTTATCTAGTTGTGAGAGGTGAAAGTTGAGTCCCCCACTAGTATAGTTTTACTATTCCCTCCTATAACTCATTTAACATCTTTAAAAATTTGGATGTTACATAATTTGGTGCATATATGTTTAGTACTGATATTACTTTATTGTACCTTTTAGCAAGATATAGTTTCCTTCCTTATCTCTTTTAATTAGATATATTTTTGCTTTTCCTTTGTCTGAGATCATGATTGCTACTCCTGCTTTATTTTAGCTTCAGCTGAAGCATATGAGATTCTGCTCTGGCCCCTTACCTTTACTCTATGTGTGTCTCTTTGCTTCAAATGTATTTCTTGTAAATAATATGTTGTAGGATTCTGGTTTTTAATCCACCCTGCTATCTGCTTCTGTTTTATGGGTGAGCTCATCCCATTCACATTCACAGTTATGATTACTGTATATTTCCCTCCATCTTTTTTTCCTATTTGTCCTTCTCTCTCTCTTGACTTTCACCTGTCCTTCCTCACCAGTGTTT